TTTTTTTTTTTAGATTCCATATATATGTGTTAGCATACGGTATTTGGTTTCCTCTTTCTGACTTACTTCATCTACTCTTACTGCTTTCCCCAGCCCACCCCATAATATGACTAGATCACAATTTTAATAGGAACTAGAAAGACCTGACACTTGCAGATATTTCAGAATATCAGATAGTTTCTCAGTTAGTGTGTACAAGAATCCTGTGAAGTAGTTATTACCAATCCCCTTTGAGGGATGACTTAACTGAGTTATAAAAACATTACGTACCTTTTCCAAAATGACACAAATAGTTAGTGGTAAAATCTCTATTTAAACTTTGGACTGCCTGGCTCTGAAGTCTGGCTAAGTCCCAGAGTAGAGCCCAGGGGAGAAAGTCAGAGAAACGGGTCTCTGAGAGAGGTGCGCATCGCTAGAGCCCAGGGGAGAAAATCCCATGCAGCCTCCTTTTAGAAAGTGCTTCCAGCGATCAGAAACTGGTAACTCTAGTCTAAGCAAGCACCTAGTAGTATAGTGCACTGCCGCTTTATGGTGGTGGTGGTGGTAACAGAGATGACTTTTCTACTGGGGTTAAGTCACAGTTGCTCAGACCTCACCACCAGGAACTTTGATTCAGGAAGTCTGAATTCCAATCTGCACTCCACGTTAAGAATTTGGGGGCTGAGATGCCAGGTTCAGGGAGTCACGTAAATTTTCTATACCTGGGAGGGAAAAGAGCAGATATTTATGGAGCAGCTAGGCTTTCAAGGGCAACTTTATTCCCAGATCTGAAGTTCAGCTGAAAAGAAGAGGATGAAAGCTGTGTTCATTCGTCTTTAGTTATTCTGTTAAAATCCATAGGACACACTTCCAGTTTCAGTTCTGACATATAAAGAGCTTGGAAGTCATTGTTCCTGTACTTACAAGAAAAAAAGCTGAACAAACTGAGAATCAATGACTTATCTTAGACCCATCAGAGAACTGAGGTCACAGGGCAAATGACCACCCCAAATTCTGGAGAAAAGACATCCAGAGAGTCACAGCCTATATCTCTTTACACAGAGCAGAAACTGCTAGAGACATAAACAGGTAAGAACACTTAAGTGGGAATTTTGACAAATTGATAGAGACTGAGGGTGGAATAGCAGGAGAGTGAGAAACCCCTAGGGACCTGCAGTCTTAGCAGTGTTGTGGGCTTTACCTCCAGGAACTCCAGCAGGTTCTCATAGTGAATATTCCAGAAAGATCTCCTCAGGGCTCTGGCAGTGGGAGGGGAAGTGTACACTCAATAAATACACCCCCGGGCTTCCCTGGTGGCGCAGTGGTTGAGAGTCCGCCTGCCGAAGCAGGGGACGCGGGTTAGTGCCCCGGTCTGGGAAGATCCCACATGCCGCGGAACGGCTGAGCCCGTGAGCCATGGCCGCTGAGCCTGCGCGTCCGGAGCCTGTGCTCCGCAACGGGAGAGGCCACAACAGTGAGAGGCCCGCGTACAGCAAAAAAAAAAAGATAAATAAATACACCCCCGAGTCTTCTCCATAACAAAGGCCTAATCTCCGGCGGAAAAGACTTTCCCAGAGCTTTATCCCAGCTGAGGGAAAGGCATTCCTCCTATCCAGCACACTCTAGCCTTCCATTCTCCTGTAAAGGGGAGAAAGATGCTAAAGAAACACTTGTGAAGGTCACAGTCTAGAGACAGGCCCACAAAAGACTGGAATTTAACCAGAAGATTATATAACACTTCCTCTCCTCTACATGCTAACAGGCCTCCAGTGTAGTAACAATGGAGTGCAGCTGACAGAGTTGCAAGATGCAGACTCTCTCTGCAAGATGTAATTAGGGAAACACAAAGTTAAGAGGAGAGACAAAAATAAAGACGCTAGAGGAATTTGAAGACTGACACCTGCAGCTACAGCAAACATTACACACAGCCCAACTGCTAACCAGCTTAACATAAAGCTTCTCACTGAAGGTCTATTTACCTCAGTTCCTATTACCCAACACATCATATCCAGCTTGCAACACAAAATTATAACACATAATAAAGGCAAGAAAAAGCATTATTTAAGGACACAAATCATCAGAACCAGGCTCAGATATAATGCAGATTTTGGAATTAAAAATAAGAATAATTTATTTGTTAATAGCCCTAATAGATAAACTAGACTGGTGTGTATGGCAAGTGTGTGAGATCCCAGTTGGTTCTAATCCCTGCCACATTCCCACCCTGCCAAAGATGATGAGCACTTGAAGGCAACTGCAAGAGAAGACCTGACAGAACCCGGGGAGAGAAGCCAGGACCGGCCCTACCTGGCTATGGGATGAGAGACAGGGAGGACTGTCTGAGCCGGTGCGTGTCCTGAGAGGGAAAGGCCCTCTTTCCTGGGCAACTGCGGGGGCGGCGAAATGGCAAAGTGTGCTACCGTGCTACCACTGCGACTGAGAAAATGGCAGTGTGGCAGAGAGGATGACGACACTGGCGCAGACAGGTGGTTTGTTTCCTCAGGCCAGAGGTCTGTTTAGGGCTGCCTTCCCTTAGAAGAGGGGCAGTGGCTCGGCCTCCACGGGCGCCGCCTCCCACCTTCCTCCCGCCCGCGGCGCCAGAAGGTGGAAAGCAGACCCGGGGAGGGCCGTCCTCACAGCTCCTCTGCCACTGGCGCCCAGGGAGGATGGCGCGCGCGATGGGGGATGGTAGGGGGGCGGACTCCGATCAGGCCGGTACACACACAGACACACACACACAGACACACCCCGGGACGATCTGTATCCATCCGCTGCTCCCTCCAGCGCGGCCCCTCCCTACCCTCCCAACCCCGGCCCCCACTGCCCACCGCCCACTGGCCCCACACGCTGCGGTGCCAGAAGTGTGCGGGGTGGGAAGGGTGGTCGCCCGAAGAGTAGTGGCGGAGGGCCGGCGTGGCCCCGCCCCTGAGGCCGGGACTCCTCCAGGCCCCGCCCCTTTCTGGGTCGGAACTACGGTGGGTCTGGGAGGGGGCGTCGAGCCCATTCGTGCAGTATCCCTCCGCCCCCTTCCCGACACCCTCGCCGCGAGCGGTTGGTGCCGCAGCCTTCGTAGCCCCTGCGGGGTTTGGCGCAGCCGCGCGGGGGGCAGGACACCTCTTTGCCATTCTGCCCGCACGGCGAGCGGTGGGAATCCAAGTGAGGAGCTGCGACAGGAGGTGGAGGCCGACCATCGGGACCCTGCGTCTGCGAAAGCAACTGGGGGTGTCTCGGGGGCGACGAGCGGCTCACACCCTGCACCGCGGACCCTGGCAACCTGAGGAGGGGGAGGCAACCGGGTCGGAGCGGGTCTCTGAGAGAGGTGCGCATCGTTGGGGGACCCCTGGCGCTGAGGGGGCGGCGACCGGCGCGGACCGGTCCTGGGGCGCGAGGTCTTGGCCGCAGGTCTTTCCTCGGGTCCTGGGGAGGCAAACGGCGCGGCCGCTCCCCGGCAGGCTTTCTGGGCGCCCGCCCCCCGCCGTCGACGGTGCCTGTGCCAGGAGAGGGCTGTGGGGGAGGCTGCTGCGGGCGAAATGGCGGAGGGGAGCCGGGGTGGGGGCGTCGGAGAGGCCGCCTGGGGTGGCGATCAGAGCCCGGTGCCGAGCGGGCGGGCGCGGGGGCCCGCCCGCCCGGGCCCTGATTCTGGAAAGGGGTCTGTGGGACCCCGCGTGCCGGGTGCTGTCCTTTCGCACAGGCGCCTCTTTGATGCCAGAGTGTCCTGTGTGCGCGGTAGGTCTGGCACATTCCGTGAAAGGGGAACAGAGCGAGTAGATTATGAAGACACCAAAATGAAAAGTTTATGTGCCTCTTAATACAGCAGTTTTGTTGCCTTCCATATTTAGGTCTTGGACCCAATTAAATGCAAGAAAATGGCAGGTTGAGGAGTCAATAGGCTTTCACAGGAAGGATCCGTGTAAACAAATAATGTATTAATCCATCTTTCTCATTTGGGATCTGTTTTCTCAACATCCTAGCCCACCTTAATATGTTAAGGTGTGAGAATGGCTCTTCAGAATAGAGAGAAAATTTTTCTGAAGGGTCAATTTAGAACGCGTGAAGTCAGTTTGCATCTTCATTTTCTGTTTTTGGAAACCCAAACCCCAGCTACCCTTCACAGCCCCCTCTCATTTTGGTGCAGAAGCAGTCCCACAGAAGATTTTGTGGAGTTCCTGGGAAATTCTGAGACCTGAGAGACGTTTATTTACTTATTCCTTGATTCTTCAAAAGGAGGTTTTAGGACCTGACTTCTGGGAATCTGTTCACTAACCTGATACTTTTCTACCATTGTCAACATACTCTCTTGGTGTTTTGCTGAATGCCCCTTCTCTTTCTATAGGGCGTGACTCTTCTCCAGCTAGTGGACTGTTCTGTAGTGGTAAGGGTAGCATCTCCTGAGGACACCTGCTATGTGGGCTGGCTGGCATAGGTGGTGAATGAGATAGGAACTATGTATGTGTGGGGAAGGGGAAAAGGCAGGGGTATGCAAGATGGTATTGAAATAGTAGTCCCCATTATGTTCACTGCCTGTCTTCTAAATACAGTTGTTCCACTACCCATTCTTGCACCTCATCTTTTTGTTCAAGGAAGGTGTGGCCTCTGCTAGGAAAATGACTGACTTTAGTGTTGGGAGGTGTGATTAGACAAGCTGCAGGTCTTTGGGGAGTGGATGGGGGATCATTTGGGAGAAGAAGACAGGTGGGAGATATTTAACATGGCCTTGAATGTACAGAAGCATATGTTGTAACACTTGTCATGGGTGTTGGGCCATCTCAGTCTCTTTTGTTTTCTTTCCTCTTTTTGTCTATCCATAGGTTTGTTCCTTTATAGAGTACTGTAGAAATCTGCAGGTAGCTGTTCACTTTGAATTTGATTAAGAAAGAGGACAAAAGCTATTCATTTGGATCCAAGGTGAGTGTGAGCCTGAGCACCCCTATTGATTGGGAATGGGAATTGGCTGTTGGCGAGTAAGACCAGATCATATCTTGGAGCCATTGTCTTCCAACTTCCCACACACCTCTGCCCTCACATTTATGTTTAGGAAATGGGGCTAGGGTGAGCCAGGATTGTGCCTATAGGGTAATTGATAGATACCTAGGAAGTGGGGAAGCCATGAGGAGGACCAAGGAGGCCAGAAACATTATATTCACAAAGCCTTAGATTTGGAAAGGCAGGTATTGGGTTTAGAAGCCAGAATGCATGTCTGTCTACCAAATACTTAAAATTCCAATCCCTCCTGTGTTTTTGTCCATAGGTCTGCCTGTGAGTCGACTATAGGGCTTATCAACACTGGAAGCAAGAAAGGAGAAAATTGCACCAGATCAGTGCAGGTTGGTGTGAGGCCTACCAGATAGACCTATAGAGTATAGTGGTATATACCAAAGGGGCTGGACACTCCTTAGCCTCTCTCACTTTCACCAAGCTTTCCCATCGTCTCTGTTCCTATTTGATGCAGAGACAAGAGTATGGAAGTGCCTGGGCAGGGCATTGTTGGGCATTAGTGGGACTGTGGAAGGGATAAAATGAGGTAACAGAGTTTTATACTATTCTACTTCTCCTACCACACAATCTATCTCTACTTTCACATGTCCTCTGTGGCTGTCTGCATAGAAAAGCACAGTTGGAAGAGACTCAAAGCCCATTTTCTTCTTCCACCTCAGGCCTATCTCCAGTGGTGGCTGTGGTGGCCTTGAAGTGACAGAAGATCATCACCTTCAACCCAGTAAAACAATATTAATATACTGACCTGGGACATATTGAGAACCAAAGCCAAGACTGTATAGAGCTATCTACATAACTGGGCTTCAACTATGGCTGGGGTTAAGAATGCAAGTAGAAAGAATAGGAGTAGAAAGAATGAGAGTAAAAAGAAGACCAAAACTGAAAATAGGGCTGGTGTACAAGCTGAAGCCAAGAGGGAGGCTACTGGCGTAGTCAGATCTGTAGCCAAGACCCAGGCCAAAGCAATAGCCAAGGCAGGGACTCAGGAAGATCCAGTGGCAGAGGTGAAGGCAGCGTCTAAGAACAAGATTGTTACTGAGATGAAGGAAGGAGCTCTGGCAGATTTCAGTCCCAAAGCTGAAGATGAGGCCACTAGAGCATCTCGGTTTTGTTCTGTGGCTGAGGCTAGTGCTGAGTCCAGTGCTGAGTCCAGGTCTACGTGTAAAGATAAGACTGGTATTGATACCTGGTTTTGGGCTGAGGAAGAAGCCAGTGTTGGTTCCTGGTTCTGGAATGGAGAAGAGGCTGGTAATCGTTTCAGTGCTAAGGATGAAGGTAAAGCTGATATTTGTCCCCCATCCTGTGCTAAGAATTTGGAGCCTGTGGCTGGGGCCAACTGCAAGACTAGGCCAGGGGCTGAGGAGGAGGAGGAGGAGAACGTTATTGGGAGCTGGTTTTGGGATGGAGATGAAACTAGTTTTGACCCTAACCCTAGACCTGTGAGCAGGATAATTAAGCCCCAGCCTGTGGATGAAATTAATGAAAAAGATAGGCCCAAGGACTGGTCTGAGGTAACTATCTGGCCCAAAGCTCCTGCTGTAACTCCAGCAGTGTTAGGCTTTAGATCCCAAGTCCCATTTGAGAAAAAGCCTCCTTCATATGTTGTCCTGGCCTCCGCTGAGGAAAATACCCATTCTTCGCCTGTGGCAACAGCGTGCCCTTCTAGGAGCACTCCCTCAAGCTCACAGCCTGTCTCTGAGTACCCATTTGGTTCTGACCCTTGTATCCAGACCATAGAGGAGATTAGACGCCAAATCAGGATCAGGGAGGTGAATGGGATTAAGCCATTTGCTTGCCCTTGCAAAATGGAATGCTACATGGATTCTGAGGAGTTTGAAAAACTTGTTACCTTACTTAAATCAACTACTGATCCTCTCATTCATAAAATAGCTCAAATTGCAATGGGGATCATTAATGTTCATCCATTTGCCCAAGAGTTCATTAATGAGGTGGGTGTAGTGACACTTATTGAAAGCTTGCTTAGTTTTCCTTCCTCTGAAATGAGAAAAAAGGCTGTAATTACTCTGAATCCCCCCTCTGGGGATGAAAGACAACGCAAGGTTGAATTACATGTTAAGCATATGTGTAAGGAAACCATGTCTTTTCCCTTGAACTCACCTGGACAGCAATCCGGATTAAAGATACTAGGACAACTGGCTACTGATTCTAACCATCACCACATTGTTGCCAATTACTTTTCAGAGCTTTTTCATTTGCTCTCCCTGGGAAATCGTAAAACCAGAAATCTTGTTTTGAAAGTACTTTTGAATATGTCTGAAAATCCAACTGCAGCCAGAGACATGATCAATATAAAAGCATTAGCAGCATTAAAACTCATCTTTAACCAAAAAGAGGCAAAAGCCAATCTCGTTAGTGCTGTGGCCATATTTATTAACATAAAGGAGCATATCAGAAAGGGCTCAATTGTAGTTGTTGATCATTTGAGTTATAATACACTCATGGCCATTTTCCGTGAAGTTAAAGTGATCATCGAAACAATGTAAAATGAGCTAGAAATAGAAGAGAACCCTTTGAACAATCTCCAAACTCTAACAGGCTGTGTGTTCCCAAAGAGCCATGCGTAATGTTTTGGTTATTACAATGTGCATGTTATAAATTACATCTTTAACACAATATTACCTGTGACAGTCTAGGTCTGAGCTAGACCATTTTGGGGTATCAAATTAATATTTCATTGTGAGTTGAAAACATCTGTTGATTATTCTCTGTGTAGATGGGGAGCTTTTTAACATTTAAGATAGCAAATTGGTGCATCATAAGTAAGCTAACTTTTCATTAGTATCTGCTTAGATCCATTTGCAGCTTCAAATGATTTAAAAAGATAATATCCTTGAATTTATAATCTAGTTGTAGAAACAAGGCATATACACACAAAAAGATATCTAACAGTACACACACACACATATATATGTATACACACACACTCATTGCCAAATGTGCACTCTCAATACGTAAAGAAAGCAGGGTTGCTACCGGCTGTTTAATGTAAAAGGAATTACTGTTTTTCCCCTATTCTACCTGCATCAGATAACTCATTCTACAACACACAAATGGCCCTGAATCTCAGATAAAATGTAATATTCATCTTTTATTTTGCTGCTACATTTATAACTCCTATATTGTTAGGCTATTTCATTTATGTCAAGTAATCTTGCAGAAGAGAAAGGAGGTAGATGTAGGGAGGAAACATTTCCTGAATACCTACTCATGTCAGATACTGTGTTGGCATTATATTTTACAGGTTTCTTCTTCTCAACAATGGTTCTCTGAGCTATGTACTGGTATTTTTTTTATGATTATAACTCGTTATTCTGGATTGCCTCCAATGGCAGTTAAGGAGGTTGAATACTTATTCCTAGATTCCCACAGCAGGCAAGTGTGGCATAGCTGTTTTGTCTGATACCAAAACCCGCTCTCATTGCACTACCTTATAGTCCTCTTCCACTTTTTGTGTGGCAGCCTTCAAGGCTCACAGACTGGTTTTAATGATTCAATTTTGCTGTAGGTAATGTCCCTGCCAGTCTTGCAATTCTTAACTTCCTCTAAATGTACATGTCCATTAAGCATTTGGCTAAACCTTGCTGGAGTAAGAAGAAAAGTCTGGGATGAGTGTATGGATTTGAACTGGCAGTGTCTGGGAAACAGTAGGTGCCCCAAACTGTTGAATGAATGAAATGTAGATTTGGAGCCAAACAACTGAAATTTGCTATGTGTCCTTCCTATCTTCTTCAATAAAGAACTGGAATCATTCTGTACATTATTTCATACCTTACAGTTTAAAAGATAATTGCTTTTTTCTTCCTTGCAAAATTATACCTTAATTTGTTTACCATTTATAATTTATTCTCCTGTGTGTCATATGAAAAGATAAACGGTTCTATCTTTTACTAGTAGGCAAGCCTACTCTCTGCATTTGTACCAGCTAAAACTGTACAGGATAAACTTAATTGGAGAAATTTAGGCCCAGGCCCAGAACTGCAGCTTCATCAACACAAAACAGGAAAGCTAGGAGAGGAGCTGCTGCCTCAATCTACGTGATAGTGATTCCTGGAAGTCTGCGGTCCAGAAAGCATTCCCAGGACTTGGGCTATAGCTATAGACTCAGGGTAGGAATTACAACCCCTGGTCTGAGCTGAAGAGAATGTTTCAGTGTGTAAAAATATTGGGTTATATGCTTTGAGATTTTTAAACAGTTAAGAAATTAAAACAAGATCATACTGTAAATACTGTTTGTAACTTGCCTTTCTTCCCACTAACTGTATATTGTGACCATCTTTCCATATCAATAAAGAGGCTTCTACAAATATTTTTGAATCTCTTAATGTTTTTCCTGTGTTAACATTTGGTGCATAGTGCCCTAATCTTTCATTGCATATCATCTGAATAAAGAATATGCATAAATTTATTCTCTTACAGAAATAGAACTACAGTATTCTGCAACTTGCCTTTTTGTCTTTTCAGTTATCTTTCCAATTTAGTATTATACAGATCTACCACATGCTTTTATTTAATAGCTTTATTGAGATATAATTGACATACCTCAAACCACACATATTTAAAGTATACAGTTTGGTAAGTTTTAACATATGTATACAGACACGAAACCATCACCACAATCAAGATAGCAAACATACCCATCACCCTGAAAAGTTTCTTCATGCCCCTTTGTAATGCCTCCTTCCCACCTCTCCCTGTTTTGTCCCCAAACAACCACTGATCTGCTTTCTGACAATATAGAATCATTTTCATTTTCTGTAGTTTTACATAAAAGGAATCATACAGCATATATTCTTTTGGAGGGAAGGGGATCTCACTTCTTTCACTCAGCATAATTATTTGAGATCCATCTATGTTGTTTTGTGTATCAATAGTTCATTGCTTTTTATTGCCAAGTAGTATTCTACTATATGTCTATACCACAGTTTGCACAGTTTATCCATTCATCTGTTGATGGGCATTTGGGTTTTTTCCAGATTTGAGCTACTGCAAATAAAGCTGCTACAACTGTTTCTTGTAGAACTGTTTGTATGGACATTTGCTTTTCTCTTGGATAACTACCTAGGAGTGGGATGTGGGTCATATGGGAGGTATACATTTAACTTTTACATTTTCAGAAATGGTTGCGTCATATTACATTCCCACAGCAGTGCATGAGAGTTCTGATTCCTCCACATCCTTGCTAACGCTTGGTATGGTTGATCTCTTAATTTTAGCCATATCTCATTGTGGTTCTCATTTGCACTTCGCTAATCACTAATGATGTTGAACATCTTTTCATATGCATATTTGCCATCCATATATATTGGGTGAAGTAGGTATAAATATTTTGCCCCATTTTTTTAAAATTGAGTGGTTCCTTTTTATTGTCGATTTTTAAGAGTTCTTTATATATACTGGATATAAGTGTATTATTTGATATATGTTTTACAAATATTTTCTCCCAGTCTGTGGATTGTCTTTTTATTCTCTTAAAAATGTCTTTTGGAAAGCAGAACTTTTTAATTTTAATGAAGAACAATTCTTTTACCAATTGTGTTTTTGTGTTAAATATAAGAAATTGTTGCCTAACCAAGGTCATAAAGATTGTATCCTATATTCTAAAAGTTTTACAGTTTTAGGTTTCATATTTAGGTCTATGATCCATTTTGAGTTTTTATATATGGTACACCTTATATATAGGTTGAAGTTCAATTTTGGCATAGTGATATCCAGTTGGTACAGTGTCACTTGCTTAAAAGACTCTTCTTTCTCCACTGAGTTGCCTTTGCATCTTTGTCAAAAATCAGTTGTCTCTGTATGTAATGGGTCTGTTTCTGGACTCTTTATTCAGTTCCATTGATCTACTTGTGTATCTTCATTACAATGCTACCTTGTCTTGATTACTGTAGCTTTATAATGTCTTGAAATCAGGCAGCGTGAGTCCTCTATTATTTTTCAGTTATTTGGGTTATTCTTACTCTTGCTTTTCCATATGAATTTTAGAGTCAGCTTGTCCATTTCTACAAAATCTCCAGCTGGGATTTTGATTGGGATAGCTTTGAATCAGTAGATAAATTTGGGGAGAACTAACATCTTAACAATATTGAATCTTCTGTTTATTTAGGTCTCCTTTAATTTCTCTCAGCAGCGTTTTATAGTTTTTATGCAACATACTTATTAGTTTATTCTTTCATATTCTTATTCTTTAGCATATTCTTATATTTTTTCTTCTGTGAGAAGTGACGCATCATTGTTTATGTCTTCATGCCTGTTTGAATATTTCTGTATGACAAATTCCTTGAAATGGAACCACTTTGTCAAAGATCATGAATGGCAATGCCCTCAAATAGAGCCACTTTGTCAAAGATCATGAATGGCAATGCCCTCCAGCCAAAACCACCAATATTTGAACAAGTTAGGTTATAGAGAGGAAGAACACACACCATGGGGAATCATGGGGTGCTTCAGTAAGGGGGTTTTAGAAACAACTTATTTTAGGATTAGGACTTGTGTTAGGTGATTTGGAGGAGGGTTTAAGGAAGTGAGGCTTTGCTGTAGATTGAAAGCTGTCAGGAAATATGAGTACAGTAGACCCTTGAAGAACATGGGTTTGAACTGAGTGGATATTTTTCAATAAATAGTGTTACAGTACTACATGATCATGGTTGGTTGAATCCGTGGATGTAGAATCACATATAGGGAGGGCCGACCGTAAAGTTATACACAGATTTTCAACTGCGTGGAGGGTCAGCACCGCTAACCCCCATGTTTTTTCAGGGGTCAACTGTAATTCTATGATTTGGTATCTAAATAAATCTTGTTCTACAAATGGGGAAGACTAGGTCAAGGCTAGAGTTGTGATAGGTAAAGAAGCAGCAGCCACTTATATTAGCCAGAATAGGAGGATATTTGGCCATTTTTGTGAATGGGACAATGTTTCTCTGTGTTCATACATGATTACAGATTACATGATTACATTTGTCTTGATATATCACAGTCGCAGAGTGGCCTTATCGGATGTTAATGTTCTGTGAAATTGTTTATATTCGACAAGAGAACACCAAGGCTTAGCTGAGAATGCTGGGCCAGCTCATGGATGTCAAGGGCTGATTTTCTTCTTCTCATGGATATTTTCAAATTTTTACATATATTTGCTTACTGACCTTCAAAATATATCCCCTCAACCCATGGTGCATGAATGTCTATTTCTTCATATTCTTATCAACATTCAGTATCAATATTTTCAATCGTTGCTATCCTCAGAGGCAGAAAAATCATCTCTGTTGTTTTTATAACATTTTAAAGGCTACATAAATATTCTGTATATGAATGTGACAGTTAAATCGCACCTCTATATTCCATTGGGTTAATTCTAGGGATGTAAGGATGGACCCTATCACCTAGTGGGAGAAGGAGTGGAGTATATACATGCATGCATCACTTTGCCTATTTTACTCATGCCCCCTCATTGCTGCCCCTCCCATATGATCTCCAGATTCAAGCCCTGACAAGTACCACCAACTGACAACCAGAACAGAAAAGTTGTACCACTTTACACTTTGTGAACTAAATTTAAAACAGAAGAGTGAAGAGTTTAGCTTGCTGACATTGTGTTACAGAGTTTAGGTCCTGAACTCTCTTACGGGCCCACCCTTAGGCAACAACCACAGTCAGTAGACTGGCAACTGATATGTACATGCAAATACAACTCAAGACAGAATGGGGGTTATTATTATTGAGACAAGCACAAGCTTTGCAGTGAGCAAAACTGCTTTCCAGTTATAGCCTTATAAAGATTATATAAATATTTCAAGTTCTTCAGATTAAAGAGATTGGTCATTATTTTATAAAATAAGCTTCAAAACATCATCATAATTAATCATGAGTTGATAAAACATCTTTAGTAAACCAACATGCAGATTTTGCCTTAAGAGTTCATAGGACCCTCTTAGCTTATCTCTGGACACCTACTCTCAGCTGCACAGTGTTACATACCCTGTCAGCAAATCTGAAAGAATCTCTGGCTACCTCTTTCCTAGAGGTGCCACGTCCCTCTCGATAGTCATTGCCAAAGTTTCCCTGAAGGAGAGGAGAACTCCAGAAATTTGAAAAATGTTTGTTGTGCATGTTGAACATTCAGCAAACTAAACTTGGCTGTTCTCATGTTGTGGTATTCAAAATAAAGCACAGTATAAAAGCGTGGGGTAGAAATTTTTTTCTCCAGAAGTTGTTAATCCTCCATCTGGACAGGGGAAACTTGCTATTCTACTCCCCACAGCCCAGTTAGGTACTTTGTGAAAACTCTAAAATATGTCAAGAATAGACAAAATGCCTAGTATGGTAGCAATGGTTGGGAGGAATAGTAATGCAAAATGAAATGTGTTTCCAGGTGCATTCTTTGAATCAAGAAAGTGCTAATCCCTCTCCTCCTTGATGATGGAATGTCATTTTAACATGACAATGGAAAGTGAATGTTGCATTGGAAAGAGTACAGTAGACTCCTCTAGGCCCATGAAATATTATGTAACTTTCATATATAGCTATGCTATTGTGGTTTAAGAATATGAAGCATTAATCTTTTATCAGAACTATCTTGATTCTATACAATATGACAATATGATATGAGATTGACTGTACTCCTTAACAAACATCAAACTGTAAGCGCCCATGAATATTATTCTTTACAATGGCCCCCATGGAAAGCCCTACACTTATGCTGTAATTGTTTGAAACATTGAAACTACTTTCAGAACCAGTTTCTGAGTCACACAAGAACACCAGAACCATTATTTTATAGCCATGGCTATATACTGAACAGTTCTGTTCTCTAGATCAGTGCCCCCTAATCTTTATCATGTAATGGCACACATAGAAAATGATCATATTTGTACATTTGCTCTCCATTAAAGGCATCAGCCCCAGTGACTCTAGCTGGAGTTGCTGTTGCATTCCCTGCTGCAACTACTTGGAGCATTGAGGGAAGCAGTATCTCTGATACACCTATAACCCACTTCTAGTATACCAGTGGGATGCTCTACCCCAGGACAGGGGTTTTCAATCTATGTTTCCTTGACTTCTAGGATTATCTGAAAATGCTTCAGAAGGCACTGCAGAGGATTAGGGGAGGGTGCATGGGTTGGTTCTGTGTGTTCCACAGCACCTTCAATCAAAGCAGCTTCACTTTGCGGTTATGCTATATATATATATATATATATATATATATATATATATATATATATATTTTCCCAAGCTGTGCGGCTTGTGGAATCTTAGTTCCCCAACCAGGGATCAAACCCGCACCCTCAGCAGT